ATATTCAAATTCTTGGTGGTGTTGCGTTGGGATCGCTCGCTATTGTAATACTGGTCATAGATTTCAATACCGTCTCTCTTTGCTATGATATGCAGTCCAAAAACTGGACGGCGATACCTAAAAGAATTCAGGCGGTCATGGTGACAGCTGATACAACCGAAGCCTATTTGGTTCAACTGTGGCCGTTTCTCGTTGTATTGACAATGTTTGGTTGGCGTTTGATAAAGGAACTCAATCTACTGTTTCTCAATCTTTTGGGCGCTTTCCTCGACACTTGTTACAGGCTTTATTTACAAGTTTACGACATTTACCACAAGCCCTGGAGGTCATTCCCTCTTAACGGCCTGTTTGTTCTCTTGTTGTTGATGAACAGTTTGATCATTGGCAAAGACATAGCTAAGAAAAGCGAAACGGAAAGAAACAAAAGAATAAAGAAAGCGATCAAGGTATCGGCGATGCTGGTAGCTCAGTTTGCTTTTGGAATCCCGATCGCCTTTGGTATCGTGTACTTCCTTATACCCTTGTATGGCGAAGCATCTGAAACCTACAGAGCGATCATAGCCGGGGCATTGCCTCTGGTAACTGCTGCTCCCAAGGTCATTGTACGCTTGGCGGCGCAAAGAATTGATTTCCTTCATCCAGGAGACTCGCACGTGCTGTTAAACGTACTCTACAGCGCGTCCGCCATCGTTTTCCGCGTTATGCAAGCGGAACTGACCAGCCTCCGACTTTTTATTCTCCTCAGCTTCGCGCATGGTGCAATAGACTTGCTGGAAAGGTTGACTATCGTTATTCGCGATTATTTTTGGTACTTTGTTTACAAAAAGCTCAAAAGAGACAGTAGTGAAACCATTTTGAAAGCAAGTCAATTTCGCACGCCAAGGAGCATGCGCTTTGTGGCCGATATGAGCATTCAGATGATCCTTGGCGAATCCACGTCATTGATAGCAGCGGTCGGTTTCATTCAGCTTTACAACTTCATGTACAACCGCAATGATGCTTCCTCGGCGTCTACCAACTTGGTTTATATCACCCAATTTTTCATTCGCGTCTCCATTGCTATTAGCATCGATTTCTTTTTTAACTCGTTCTCGTTTTGGCTGCAGATGTCCTATTTGAATATCGCAGTGGTGCGCGTCTGGCGCAAGAAATGGCGGAAACATATGCTTATTGCTTTTATTTTGACTGCAGTGACACTGTGTTACTTTACCACTCACTTGTTTGCTGTTGTAAAAGACAAAAACACTTCAGGAGTTATAATAGATGATCATACTTGCAAGGGGCCTTTCTCAAAGTTTTAAGTAATATATTTTTGAACTGATGGGTTTTTCATGCTGCAAAAAAAAGAATGACAGAAAAATGTTGCTCAATCTCATTTATTTGAAAAGCAACACTTAGATTGAATTCTCGAAGTTGATACAGAGGTGCATCCCAGAAGTTTGAATCTGTGTGAGAGTGTTAATTTAGTGACTTGAACCACCACCTACCCCTTCCCTAAGTGAACATTAACACTTCTCACTAGCGCAAAATTGTGACTTAGGGGAGGGATAGGTGGTCACGAGGCGTAGGTTGTTGTCGTTTACTTTTTCTACCTGATATAAAAGGGTAAATAACAATTTTGTTTGAATTGTAAGACAAAAATCGTAAACAAATGCGTTTGCTTCGAAGAAAAGGGGATGTCTCTCATTTAGAATAGACACAGGAAATGCTGATCCTTTTTTTGTTGTTGTTGTCATTTCCGTGCCAATTATGACGGTAGGAAAAGAAACACTGTATAAGCATGGCTTAATTCACGGACTTTGAATTCAGAACCACCGTTTTAAGCTCAGTACACAATATCATCAGAAGGTTCTGCTAATACTGGTAGTCATTAAAAATTTGAAATGTATTCAACCAAAAAGGGGCATTATGTGAACTCACTGCATTATTTCATTGCATAATCATTGACATGATTTTGTGGGGCGGGCGCAAAATAGATCCCATTTCCCGGCTGTAATGTAAGAAAGCCCCCGTGAAAGATATTGTGCGGTGGGGTAGCTAAAGTGGCTTCAAAAACAGAAAAGTTTTACGAGAGACGCTTTTAGGACTGCGCCTTTCACACGCAAAAATAAATGCATTCACGGACACCATCACTCGTAGACTCATATTTGTCGTATCGAGATCTTGTCATGCAATATCATATCCCTTTGCCAGAAAACAAACATTAAACTGTTCCTTTTGGTGATTACATTAGACCTAATCCCTTAATTCAGAAATTAAATTAAAAACTGTTTTCCCGTTTTGTGCGAATTGTAGCGTGAACCTATAACCATACCTTTGACAGGTGCAGTGGCAAAGATTTGGAGGGTAATTCGAGCCAGATATAGCCAGTTATGACGCGTAATAATTTACTTTTGCTCTTAATGGAGGTCAATTGAGTAGTGCTCTGATAAAGTGGATAGGTTTTTTCGGTTTGAGAGTGATCATTATCGTGGATAAGGATTGAATTGGACATGAATCTGGATCGCAACACATTTTCAAGCTCTCGCAGTGGAGAGTCAAGTCTTTGGTTTTTATTTTAAGACGATTTTGAAAAACAAGAAGAAAGTATTAAAGATATAGACGACGAAAGATTTCTTTACGTCGATACTTTTAGCTTTAAGATACTAAACAATTATTGGATGAGGTTTTTGTGATATCCGCAATAATCAAGGTCGGGGTAAGCGTTATCAGCCGAGCCAAAGGCCGAGGCTGATAACACTTACCGAGACCTTGATTATTTAGGATATCACAAAAAACCGAATCTAATAATAGTTTTATTATACATTGTTTTGAAGAAAATAACGACAAACACACCGTCGCAAGGAACCTGAATTGATATTGTTATTGGAAACAGTCATGCATTGCGCGCGCAACCTACAGATTAGTCAGTTAGTTATCTGCTAGCAGATAACTATCTTATCTGTAGGTTTCGCTGATTTCCAAAATTAGCTGTAGTCTCTTGGCCAATGAGAAGACAGATAGTGAGTATAAAGTATACTAATTTAAATTAGTGTGCTCAGTCAAGAGGTGTTCACTAGTATTCCGGCAATCCGTGGAATGTTGGTTTTCAAATGTAAATCGAAACCATTCAATAGATAAGCCAGAAAACTCAAATAAAATGGGGTAGTTACATTTTAAAATATCGCTCGCTAAGGCTCAAGTCTGCCAAGCAAGTGTATGTGAAATTTAGGGCGCTTTCGGGAAAGACAGCGCTGGCCGCGAGGGAGGAAGACGTGCGCGCGGATCGGCGCTTATCTCGCCCATATATTTCCTATAAGCCTACAACATAAGCTACCAAGGCTGCTTATCATTAGTAGTCAGAACTGCCTGGTTAGACCAGAGTAAATAGAGAGAATCCCACTATTAAACAAGACTCAGTATCCAGCGAGATCAGTCTAAGTATTCGCAAATGTCAGTCATGCACGGCATTTATGGGTTTATAGCGAAAACTCACGGAGAACTATCCTATTTCTTTTTTCACCATAACAGGTCCTGGTCGGTGTGGCCGAGCCGTTCTGACTTTAATAAGCACCCTAAGACTCTCTGTGGATTTTTTCATTCCTGAGAAATTACGAAAGATGTTTTACCCATGTTTAAGGAGCTTAGTATGGAGACACCATTTCACCATTCCTTTTTTCTGTGCTAGCTCATTTTGTTACACGGTTTACTGTAAGGAGGTCACAAAGAGAAACACAGATAAGACATTAAAATAACTTAAAGACTGATTCAAACTTGGCTTTTGACTCAAAACTGACTTTAGGTCGTTCTACTAAGGTCATTCTTGCAGAAGATTCGCGCGTGTTTTACAGGCTCATTCCCGTTACCCGCCTGTTCGTGGCAAGTTCCAAGATCACAGCATATTTTTGGAGCGTAGTTTTCCATTGATCTTAAGTTCGTTTTTTCCCATATGGCTTAAATCAAACTTAGCTTGTGACTCAAAATTGAGTTGGGTTCGTTGTACTATTGTTTTGATCCACGAGAATCGCTCGTGCTTTACAAGTTCTTTCCTGTTGCTTGTCTAGTATAATTGTAAAGCGTATCTTTCTTATGGTCTTTAGTTCGTTCATTCTCTTACTTGGCAAAAGACCGCCTTAACATCAAGAACTGATCGATCAAAACAACTGAGCTGAGTCTAGAAGCTACTGTAAAGCAGATCTGACTCTTCTTGTTTCTGTTGGCCCAAGCAGATCGCGTCTCGATTCGTACGAACTAACAGCAACTTGTTAAGGTTTGTCAAGCTTTTTTATTATTAAGTAATGGGAGCTGCTCTATCCTTGCTCGAAGACATCGTTCTTTACATGGTGGAGACATTTACCGCTGGTGTTGTTCAGTCCTGTCAAGGACAAGAACAACAAGACGGTGCATCGTTATTACATGACCAAGATCCCCTGGAGGATTTTAGAAAGTTTAATCGAAACGACGAGATTTTTCAAGAATATGACCCGCCTCCTGGGGACAACAGCAAAATGGGATGGAAAAGATCTCGCCCGCCAACATGGCGATTGTCGCTTTGGAAGGCGATGCAGTGCGCATTTTGCATTCAGATTCTTGGCGGCGTTGCGTTGGGGTCACTCGCTATTTCAATACTGATTTTAAATTTGAGAACTTTAGACTTTTGCTTTAATGTACAGAAAACTAACTGGACGGCGGTTTCCAAGAGATATCAGCGGATCATAGTGACAGTTGCTGTAATAGAAACCTTCGTGATTCAACTGTGGTCGCTTCTTCTTATGTTGACAATGTTTGAAAGTAGTTTGATAAAAAAGCTTAATCTAATCACACTGAATCTTCTGGGCGCATCATTCGACACTTGTTTCAGGCTTTATTGTCAGATGTACGACGTTAACGTAAAGTCTTGGATGTCTTACCCTCTCAACTGCCTCTTTGTTTTTTTGCTGGCGATGAACAGTTTACTAATTGGCAGAGAAATAACAAAGAACAACGAAAGAAGCAAAAGAATAAAGAAAACGATCAAGGTAATGGCCATGCTGGTAGCTCAGTTTGCTTTTGGAATCCCGATCACTTTTGGTCTCGTGTACGTCCTGATACCCCTGTATGGTAAAGCACCTCAAACCTACAGAGCGATCATAGCCGGGGCTTTGCCCCTAGTAACTGCTATTCCAAAGGTCATTGTACGCTTGGGGGCACAAAGAATCGACTTTCTTCATCCAGGCGATTCGCACGTGCTGTTGAACGTACTCTTCAGCGCGTCCGCCATCGTTTTTCGCGTTATGCAAGCGGACCTGTTCGAAATCAAACTTTTTACTCTTCTTAGCTTCGCGCATGGTGCAATAGATTTGCTTGAAAGGTTGACTGTCGTTATTCGCGATTATGTTTGGTACTTCATTTACAAGAAGCTCAAAAGAGACGAGAGGGAAACCATTTTGAAAGCAAATCGATTTCGCTCGCCAAGGAGCATGCGCTTTGTGGCCGATATGAGCATTCAGATGATCCTGGGCGAATCAACGTCATTGATAGCAGCGGTCGGTTTCTTTCAGATTTACAAGTTTATATACAACGGTCAAAAGGCGTTGTCCGTGATAACCGAATTTTTCACCCGCGTCGCGATTGCTATTAGCATTGACTTTGGTTTTAATTCTTTATCGTTTTGGCTGCAGATGTCCTATATGAATGTTGCCATAGATCGTGTTTGGAAGAAGAGCTGGCGGAAACACATGGTTATTGCTTTTATTGTGACAGCCATGACCATGCTTTACTTTGCTGGTCGCTTATTGCCCATTGTGAGCGCCAAAAGTTCTTCAAATAGCACAATGAGCAATGTGAATTGCTCACAGCTCATCTTAAAGTCTTGACCTAAGAAAATTTATTTTGTCTTTCTTTTTTTAAGTTTCAGCTCACTTCCATCCTACCTGTTCTTAGTCATAGAAACAGTTTTTTTGTACAACTATAGAAACCTTAAGTAAGAAACAGATTACTTCAATTAATTAGTGAATTTCCATCTCCCGGGATGACAGCGTACACCTTTTTATAAACTACATCGGTGTGTACTTCGCCAAAGGGCGTGGATTTTTAACCGTTGTGGTCTTATATTACGTCTAGATGTTACTGAACCATTTGGGTTTGCAATTGTGTGAGACAGGTTTGTTGAATATTCCTCTTTTTAGAACAGTAGTTCAAGTCTAAAACAGGGTACGGACCCAAACCAAATGCTGCACACCCCAACCGAATATTCCATGACTACCCACCTGAGGGGTTTCCATTGATGCAAACGATTCTACTGGATTTTCCAGTGACACTGATGATACTCTCTGTGTGATTTCTCCCAATGGGAAGTTTATAATTTTGTCGCAATTCGTGCCGCGTGTGGATTCGTTGACCAAGTACTGGAAGTGGGCACCGTTCTGTTATATTTCTATCGGTTTGGTTTGGGTCACAAATTTCGTGTTAAATGGTATCCATGAGCTTTGCTTTTTACATGTTTATGTCTTTTGTTCAGAGCGCTTTTCGTGGCGACCATATTGTTTGCGGCGGTTACCTCTCACTGAATTGAGGTCTGCATTACCTAGGGCTCATTATAAACGCGCATGATGTACATGGAAACTTTGAAATCTTTCTTATACTTTGGTAATAAAGAAGCGGTTTGGGGTTTAGATATAGTGTGGGTAAAAGTGAACAAAAACGAGATTACGCCGGTCCGTCGTCGGAGTATGGATGTTAGTAAAATTTTCCATGTCCTAACAGTCATTATCTTACCAATCCACGTCCAATATAACTCCACGCCCTCCACTTCACACACCTCAACCAACCCCTAAAATATACATTACTGCACTACTCACACATTCCTAATATACTTAAAAACTTCACCTACGCCTAGTACAACGACGCCCAAATATAAACTCCCACAGCATCTTGATCAACGTAAAACAACTTTATAACATAGCTAGAATATTCGCCTAATCAAATTCAATAGGCGAGCGTGCTTCATATTCCTACTGAGCACGCTGGTGACGTCAATAAACTATACCTGGAGTTCTTGTTAGCTTAGCAATCGTCCGAAGGCGTCTCCCAAGTGCATCCATAACTCAACAGTACACGATGAAGCGTTAATCATGTGTTTTACAACGTTTGAATTTGTTAACCGATAGTAGGCAGAAGAGGTGAGTGTTGTTGTTGTCATCTGCGCTTACTGTGCGGCCTATGGCGTGTTTGCAAAGTTTTTTCTTTCAAAAAGAATTTTTCGGTGAATTACTGAACAGTTTTTCGGCACCTCAATTTGGATTTTACCATCTTTTTAAGAGTTCTCTTAAGCAACTTGAGTAAACTTTCTCTCAGTTTCAAGACAAAAACATAACTGTAAAGTAAAAAAAATATAGTCACGTAGACACTGACGCGTATTGGTTTGAGCGCCGGCTACAATAATAAAAATTTAAGTTAACTTCCGCATTGGTCGCTCTGACAATGTTATAAAACCATTAATTCATGCTTCAGTTGTGCGTATGTCGAGATATTGAGCACTTGGGAAGTTTGGAGAGCACACAAGAGGCTAAAGTTGCTCTCAGCTGCGCCTCGAGCAACTCTTACGCCTCTTTTGTATTCTCCAAGATTCCCGCGTGCTCAATATCTCGATACACGTACGCTGACGGATGAACTAATTGTTAAGAAAAGAAAATAACAAATTGGCGTCAACTTGCTGCAATCTGGCGCTTGAAAATGTTCATTTACTCGTCAGATGGGGCCTATATCAAAATGTTACTTTTTGATTCTGTCAAATAAAAAAGGTGAACTGACCCCTTTGCATTTTATAATTTCCCGAAATTTTTTACGGTTCACTACATTTCAAAAACAGCTTTGATTTTTTAAAAGATCCGATTTATCGAATCGCCTTAATCTTAGATAACGAAAACAGCACATTGTCCTCTTGTCTTCAGTTCTTTTCTTTGCTGCCTTGAGGAAAAAACACGGATACCACAGTCATTTACATTTCGTCTTTCCAAGAACTGATCGATATAAACAACTTCCTTTTCTTGGAGCTTCTGACAAATGACGACAATGTTCTTTGTTCCATGAATAGAGCCAGGGAATATAATAGCTAGAAAACAAAGAAAAACTCCACAGCTTTTGCACACGGGGGTAAACCCCAACCTTGTCTTAGAGCTTCTGACAAATAACGACAATGTTCTTGGTTCTATAAAGAGGTGAGATTTGAAGAACTTAAAATTTAGCCGAGAAGAAGCAGTAAGGCAGTGAGGAGTATTTGATTTTCACTAAGATAGTTGATAAACTAATGGGAGCTGCTCCTTTCTCGCTCGAAGGCGTTTTCGTGTACATCTCGGAGACGTTCGCCGCTGGAGTGATTCAGTCTTACCAAGGACAAGTACCTCTAGAGGATGCTCCATTACTGCAACGCCAAGATCCCTTGGAGGATTTCAAAAAGTTCAATCGAGTGATCCGATTTTTCAAGAGTACGATCCTCCCTCAGGGGACGACAGCAAAATGGGATGGAAGAGATCTCGCCCGCTAACATGGCGACTGTCACTTTGGGAGGCCATGAAGGATGCGTTTTGTATTCAAATTCTTGGTGGCGTTGCGTTGGGATTGCTCGCTATTGTAATACTGGTCCTAGATTTCAATACCGTCGATCTTTGCTATGATATGCAGTCCAAAAACTGGACGGCGATACCTAAAAGAATTCAGGCGGTCATCGTGACAGCTGATACAACCGAAGCCTACTTGGTTCAACTGTGGCCGTTTCTCGTTGTATTGACAATGTTTGGTTGGCGTTTGATCAAGGAACTCAATCTACTGTTTCTCAATCTTTTGGGCGCTTTCTTGGACACTTGTTACAGGCTTTATTTACAAGTTTACGGCATTTACCACAAGCCCTGGAGGTCAGTCCCTCTTAACGGCCTGTTTGTTCTCTTGTTGTTGATGAACAGTTTGATCATTGGCAAAGACGAAGCTCAGAAAAGCGAAACCGAAAGAAACAAAAGAATCAAGAAAGCGATCAAAGTATCGGCGATGCTGGTAGCTCAGTTTGCTTTTGGAATACCGATCACATATTGTCTCGTGTACGTCCTTATACCCCTGTATGGCGAAGTATCTGAAACCTACAGAGCGATTATAGCCGGGGCATTGCCTCTAGTTACTGCTATACCCAAGGTCATTGTACGCTTGGCGGCGCAAAGAATCGATTTCCTTCATCCAGGAGATTCGCACGTATTGTTAAACGTACTCCACAGCACGACTGCCATCGTTTTTCGCGTTATGCAAGCGGAACTGACCAGCCTCCGACTTTTCATTCTACTCAGCTTCGCGCATGGTGCAATAGACTTGCTGGAAAGGTTGACTATCGTTATTCGCGATTATTTTTGGTACTTTGTTTACAAGAAGCTCAAAAGAGACAGTGGTGAAACCATTTTAAGAGCAAATCAATTTCGCTCGCCGAGGAGCATGCGCTTTGTGGCCGATATGAGCATTCAGATGATCCTCTGCGAATCAACATCATTGATAGCAGCGGTCGGTTTCATTCAGCTTTACAACTTCATGTACAACCGCAATGATGCTTCCTCGACGTCTATCACCCAATTTTTCATTCGCGTCTCCATTGCTATAAGCATCGATTTCGTTTTTAACTCGTTCTCGTTTTGGCTGCAGATGTCGTATTTGAATATCGCAGTGGTGCGCGTCTGGCGCAAGAAATGGCGGAAACATATGCTCGTTGCTTCTATTTTGACTGCAATGACACTGTGTTACTTTACATCTCACTTGTTTGCTGTTGTTAAGGCTAAAAGCACTTCAGGGGTAATAATAGCTAATATCAGTTGCATGGGTCCTTTCTCAAAGTTTTAAAGACGCCTTGTCACGGTCGTCTAGTTTCTTTTGTTATTGATGCCAGTTACGCTTCCTTTGTCGCTATTGAACTTGAGAAATTACCTGTGAATGACAGAATGACGAAAATGTCTCCCAAGCTTTATATCAAACGTTACAAACAACAGAATGAACTTTGTAAAACGTCTTTATATATTTATTTATTTATTTATTTGGTTTTTACACACATTACATAAAACAGAGAAAAATTTAATTTAATTATTAATTTAATTTTATGTCCTCTTTGGTTACTGCTTTTTGTTTCTTTGGTATTTAAGAATTTTCTAACTTTGAAAACCTGTTTTCAAAAACACCAATTGCAATCCGTTTCCATCTTCTTCGAGTTTGTCCATCTATGTCTCCTTTTTTATTTGCTGTGTTATTTATACCTTCGTGTAATGTTTGAGCTGTTATTTTTGTTTCACTCATTTTGGTGGGGATTTCCACTGTTTGAATTTTGGTAAATTTCGTGAGACAGCTCAAACTCTTCCGAGTTTTCTTTTTCCTTTCCGACCTTGTCAACAGCTACGACCCGACAGTGCGACCAAAAAATCTTGCTCACTCTGATTCATTTGAAAGGCCACACTTAGATTTTTATACTTGAAATTGATATAGAGGTGCATCGCATAAGTTTGAATCTTTGTCAGAGAGTGTTAATTTAGTGACTTGAACCACCACCTACCCCTCCCCTAAGTCAACATTAACACTTACTTCTCACCTCGGGCAAAATTGTGACTTAGGGGAGGATCAGGTGGTAACGAGGCGTAGGATGTTGTTCCAGAAAAACTAGGAAGTTTTCAGAAATTCCAGGGCTTGCGAATGATAACAAACGCCAGCCGCATATGAAACTAGCAAAACCATGTGTCGTTCACTTTTTCTACCTGATATATAAGGATAAATAATGGTTTTGTTTCTCTAAGACAAAACTGGTAAAAAAAATTGTTTCATAGAAAAGGGGATGTCTCTCCTCTAGAATAAACACAGCAAATGTTGATACAGTGGAAGCTCTCGTGAGCGGACACCCTCGGGACGCGAAAAGGTGTCCGTAACTGGACACACAGTATAGGCATGGCTTTATTTACAGACTCTGAGTTCAGAACCACCTTTTTAAGCTCAGTAAATAATATCATCAGAAGGTTCTACCAAATACTTTAATTGTTAAAACAATTATTGGACGAGGTTGAGCAAAATATGGTGATTTGTCAGTGGCGAGCAGATCATAATTGATCTGCGAGAAAACACTGCGATAATCGGGTTCGATAATTGTTCCATCATTCGGTCACCGAGTTTGTTTTTTAATAAATATCTGCCATTTTCACGCAAAAGCGATCGCAAGAAGGAGAAAAGCGCGGTGCTATTTGCGTATGAGCAGAAGATTATTTGCAGCCAAACACAGTTGAACGTCATTGCGCCTGAGCAGACCATTATTTGTAGGCAGTTATCTGCAGGTCACGTGGTGGGCTCTCGGCGAATGAAAAGGAACAAAAATTTGCATGAAATGACAATAGCAGTTATTACTACAAATTTGATCTCGCCGGCCAACATGGCGATTGTCGCTTTGGATGGCCATGAAGTGTGTATTTTGCATACAGATTCTTGGCGGCGTTGCGTTGGGGTCACTCGCTATTTCAATACTGATTTTGAATTTGAGAACCTTAGACTTCTTCTTCTTTAATGTACAGAAAACTAACTGGACGGCGGTTTCCAAGAGATATCAGAGAATGATAGTGACGGTTTCTATAAGAGAAACCTTCGTGATTCAACTGTGGTCGCTTCTTCTTATGTTGACAATGTTTGAAAGTAGTTTGATAAAAAAGCTCAATCTAATCACACTGAATCCTCTGGGCGCATCATTCGACACTTGTTTCAGGCTCTTTTGTCAGATGTACGGCGTTAACGTAAAGTCTTGGATGTCTTACCCACCCAACTGCCTCTTTGTTCTTTTGCTGGCGATGAACAGTCTACTCATTGGCAAAGAAATAGCAAAGAACAGCGAAGAAAGCAAAAGAATCAAGAAAACGATCAAGGTAATGGGCTCGTTTTTCGCTTTATGCAAGCCGTAGCGGACCTGTTTGAAATCAAACTTTTTACTCTTCTCAGCTTCGCGCGTGGTGCAATAGACTTGCTGGAAAGGTTATCCGCGAGTATGTTCGGTACTTTATTTACAAGAAGCTCAAAAGAGACGAGAGGGAAACCATTTTGAAAGCAAATCAATTTCGCTCGCCAAGGAGCATGCGCTTTGTGGCCGATATGAGCATTCAGATGATCCTGGGTGAATCAACATCATTGATAGCAGCGGTCGGTTTCATTCAGCTTTACAACTCCATGTACAACCGCAATGATGCTTGATGGAAACGATTCTACTGGATTTTCCAGTGATACTGATGATACTCTCTGTGTCATTTCTCCCAATGCGAAGATTATAATTTTGTCGCAATTCGTAACGCGTGTGGATTCGTTGAGCGAATACTGGAAGTGGACACCGTTCTGTTATATTTCTATCGGTTTGGTTTTTGTCCACAAATTTCGTGTTAAATGGTGTCGATAAACTTTGTTTTTTACATGTTTATGTCTTCTGTTCAGAGTGCTTTTCGTGGCGACCATATTGTTTGCGGCGGTAACCTCTGACTGAATTCAGGTCTGCATTACCTGGCGCTCATTATAAACGCGCGTGATGTACATGCAAACCTTGCAAAATTTCTTATACTTTGGTAATGAAGAAGCGGCTAGGGTTTTATTTAAGGTTTAGATGTAGTGTGGGTAAAAATTAACAAATACTTTTCCTCTCCGAATGGGTAGTTTGTTGAAACGAAACCGGAAATGCTTAACACGTAAACGAGATTGCGCCGGACCGTCGTCGGATTATGGCTTATAGTAAAATTTTTCCATGTCTTATTGTTAAAGAAAAGAAAATAACAAATTGGCGACCACTTGTTGTAATCTGGCGCTTGAAATTGTTCATTTACTCGTCAGATGGCGCCCATATCAAAATATTAAGTTTGGACCCTGTCAAATAAAAAAGGTGAACGGACCACTTTGCATTTTATAATTTATTGCCCGAAACGTTTTACGGTTCACTACGTTTTAAATAGCTTCGATTTTTTAAAAGATCCGATTTATTGAGTCGTCGTAAT